TTTACTTACTAAGTAGCATTATGAGTGAATTTTGTGTTATTTGTATTAGAAACCTGCATATTTTTGATATCTTCTGAGGGGAGGGTGATATCATCTGTGGTAAAAATAAATAAATCATATGATAACTGCCATTCAATTAATACCTACTATTGTCCAATTACTCTGACAAGTGTTTTATGTCCATTGCATACATTCCAACAGTCCTACAAGATATGGCTTATTACACATACTTTTCAGATGAAGAACTTGTAATTTTCTCAAATTCTCATCACTGATAAGTAAAAGAGCTGGTACTAGAATCCTGGTACCAATTTTTTCTAGAATTCACACTTTTCCTCTTCTTCCGCCTGTCTCTTCATTATCTATTCTTCTCACCACTCCAAGATGTATCACAGGCTATTAAAAAACAAGACTTTCTGCCCTACCAGTGTTGCTCAGTGGTTGACTATCGACCTATGAACCAGAAGGTCATGGTTTGATTCTTGGTCAGGGCACATACCTGGGTTTGGAGGTCTATCCCTGGTGGGGGGCATGCAGGAGGCAGCTGATCAATGATTCTCTCTCATTCTCTCTCTACATTCCTTTCTGAAATCAATAACAATATATTTAATAAAAAAAACAAGACTTCACTACAAAAGTACTAAAAGCAGTCCTCATGAAAGAAGGTAAATATGAAAATAAAGAACAATTTTGGGATTGTCCATGGGCTTCTTTTGCTGAGGATCCTTCTGTTCCTCATCCCAGAGTCCCTTGAGAGCTAACTCTTCCAGATGCTAGCACAAGTTCTGTGCCAGTCGGTTCCTACATTGCAGAACATTCCCCCTAGGGATTCCCCAGTGTGGCCTTCTGTCCAAACTGGAACCTCATATACTGACCAGCTCTTCACTGTGTCCTCTGGAGGCTGCACCCTGCTTCCTGTGATGCAGGAATCACCTGCCCTCCCCTTGACTAGAGCGTTCCAACACTCTGCAAGTGTACCTTGGAGATATATCCCTCTCAGTGGGACCATTGACATGAAGTCTAGATAACTTATTACCACAGCTCCAGCTCCCACACCCATCTCTACATCAGTCTTCAAAGTATTTTCCAAATGAGCTGGTGGATACAGTCTTATTTCTTACAGAATATACTGGTAATTGATGTGAGACAACCCAAATATTGTCAGTAGGATTTTAAAGGGGTGTGTTATTTGAGACTGGCCACTGAACTCATACACCAATGAGTTCATACCTATAAGGTCAATACCCGCCGAAACCGGTTTGGCTCAGTGGATAGAGCGTCGGCCTGCAGACTGAAGGGTCCCAGGTTCGATTCCGGTCAAGGGCATGTACCTGGGTTGTGGGCATATCCCCAGTAGGAGATGTGCAGGAGGCAGCTGATCGATGTTTCTCTCTCATCGATGTTTCTAACTCTCTATCTCTCTCCTTTCCTCTCTGTAAAAAAATCAATAAAATATATTAGAAAAAAAAAAGGTCAATACCCAATGCCTTCCTGGTAGGTCAGAGATGAAGAAAGACCATGGAAATCACTGTGTAATAAACATCTACTGAAGTTGAATTCCTCAGAACCCAGAGTTCTTCTAAGACAGGAATAACGGTTTCTTAACAGCCATGCTATCTTTAAAAAGCAAAGATTAAAATAATTCACCATCCTTCTGCTGCCTCTTATCTCAGTACTTGCGCCAGAGGAAAATGCTGCCTTCTCCTTGTTTCTAATGACACCTGTATAAGTGTCCTGAGTGTTCAGTCATGCTGAGGGTTTCTGGGACTCAAGGTTTTGACCATACTTCATAGAACATTCTCATCCTATTGACACTCTACAGTTTATTTCAAAGGTAAGTGCAGAAAGGAGCTATTGAATGAATAAGGTGAATCCTCCCTATTGAGATTTTACGTTATTCTTTTGAAAATTAAACGTGATCCAGCATTTGAAAGTATCTCCCATGTAGCAGGATTGGAAAATTGCAAGGCAAAGTGGCCTCTTTAGAAACTCCAAGGAATGAAGAGGTTTTTTTTTTGTTTTTGTTTTTTTATTGTAGTAGTTGCTTTTGTGTGAGCACCTACTATAACAGTTTATGGGAGAGAGCACATGCTAATTCATATGGTGCCTTGCTCTCCTCCCTGGGTTGATGGGGAGACTACACATTCCCAATCCACTTATATTTATGGAAGGGTCTGTGACTACTGTTGACACTGAAATATGAACAGAAGCAACGTTTGTCACCCTTAGGACAAGAAGTTTGAAAGCCAGTATGCCACCTCCATGTTTTCTGTTCCATTGATCAGCAAAAACAGATTCCTTGTTGGGAAGTAGAACCATCTGATAGGAGCAGACTGGATGCCATATCAGTTTTTATGTGCATGAGAAATAAACTTTGGTTGTTTTAAGCCATTGCAGGTTTGCAGATCTTGTCTGTTGCACTAGCTAGCAGTTACTATATCTGATTAATGCACAGTTACAATTTTGTGGTTAGATGTATTTAAATATTTTAATTACAAAGTAATAATACATATATTCTTGATGCAAAATTTCTAGTAATACAGATACATTTCAATTTCCCTCTTTCCTCCAAATTCAATCCCCTCTTCAGAGGCAACCACAATTAACTATCTGATGTGTGTCATTTAAACTTGATCTGAGGTTTTTTATACATAGATGTGCTGTAAAGATGTATTAAATTTTTAAAAACATGATTAAAAATGGGCATATTATTCTGCATGTTGATCATTCTTCCAGTGTGCCCTGGAATAATGAATTTTGCTACTTAAACTGAAGGAACTTGAGGCAGCACCTCAGAGCACACATGCCAGGACCATTGGTGTAATAACAGGACAGCACCAAAATTTGGGCCTGTTGAGGTAGTATGAGACAAGAGATTATCCTAATAAATACCTAAAACCTTTTGTTGGTGAGGACTGGACTTCCTAAAATAGTCATCTAAACAAAATATAGTACATTGATGAAGATTATTGCAGGTTTAACTGGTATATTTTCCATTATATGTTCTAAATAGTTATTGACTATGTGTGATCAGGCTTCTAATTTTGCTACAGAGGGGGCCGGCCTCGCACCTGCCCCGGCCCGCAAGGCCCACGTGGGTCTGCAGAACACTGCCACTTCCGGTGCCAACCCACGTGACCGGAAGTGCGGCCTCACTGCTGTGAAGCCCAAGCTCTGGGGGACGAGGCCTGTCTAATGGCTGCTTCCCAGGCCGAGCGGAGGGAGCGGCCCAAGTCCTGTCCCAGTCAAGGTGCGAGGAGGTCGGAGTGCGCACCGGGGGGCACTTCCCCAGCAACCCCAGGCCCTTTTCCCCAGAAAGAGGGGGAGTCAGGGGGTGGGGGCCTTGGTGGGAGGGGCTGGCAGAGGGAGGGTGTCCAGGTCAGCCAAAAGTCATGATCACTGGGGTGACGAGGGACCCCATAACATGGAGGACACCTCAGAATCCCTAAATGCTGCCATTCTGATAGGCTCAGGCATTTGTCAGCCGAAGTGCTCCTTAATTCCTGCTCAGGGCTCAGGCAGGGGAAAGCTTTTGCCTGACAAGTATGATCACAACACAGCTGGGGGATTCATGTTAGATACACATCTAGGCGGATACATGTGAGACCCTGGGGCACCTTTCATAATTGGCCTCCTTTTGATTGGTGCATCCTGCATTTGGAAGAAGACAGGCAAATGCAGCTATACCAGCTGTGGGCAAACTACGGCCCGCGGGCCGGATCCGGGCCGTTTGAAATGAATAAAACTAAAAAAAAAAAAAAGACCGTACCCTTTTATGTAATGATGCTTACTTTGAATTTATAGTAGTTCACACAAACACTCCATCCATGCTTTTGTTCTGGCCCTCCGGTCCAGTTTAAGAACCCATTGTGGCCCTCGAGTCAAAAAGTTTGCCCACCCCTGGGCTAGACCATTTCAAACTCACTTCCTCCTCTGGCTCTGGGGCACCTGCTGACCTCAGTGTAAGATAGGCCACAAGCACAGACACAGAGGACTCTAGTTCTTGCAGTGCCAAGCAGGAAAACCACATGTGGACTGAGGAACGACCCACCCTGAACAGGTGAAGGGAAAGCTAACAGCAGAAAGCGGGGCTCTGAGCCCTTCTTGGAGACTAGGTGAGGGGTCTAAATGAGGACTGAGGACCCTAACAATCCAGGACAGAGAAGGCTCCATAGCGATGTCAGTTCTGGGTGCCCCCTCCCAGAAGCAGCATCTCAACGCAAACTTGTGGCATGGAAGTTTGAGTGTCACCTTGAGAGCAAGAGCAGGGACTGGGGGCCCAGGTCTTGCCAACAATTAACTTGATGATCCTGAATATGAACGGAGAGCACTCCAGAAACCCAGGGTCCTGCATACCCCCCCCCCCCCCAGTCCCCATAGTTGCCTAGGGAAGACTCAGGTAGGATTCTATGGGTATGAGTAAGGCACACTCTCACTTACTCTGCAGGGTTGTCAGGGTAGATTCTGGGCAGAACAGGAGCTCTGTGGGCCCCTGGAGCACTGCCCTCAGACCCTGCAGACATGGCCTGGGTTAAAGCCCAGGTGCAATGTCCCTACTGAGGGAGCACACACCATCTCACTCTCCTCCTCCAGGTGCCAGCATCACATCCTCTCCTGCCACACAAGTACACGCTGCCCCTGACCAGTGTTGTCATGCCTTGGGGAAAGAAGAGCAAGCACCAACAGGCCCTGAGTGACAGAGTCTCAAGGGTGCTGAGGCCACAGCAGAGGAGACTGAAGTGCCCGTCTCCTCTCCTCCCAATGATGATTCTCCCCCGAGCTCCCCTGCACCTGACCCATCCCAGGAGCCCCAGGGAGCCACAGCCACTAGCTCTCTTGAGGCAGGTGTCTTATGCCCATTATCTGATGCCAGTGCCAAGCGCCAAGGTCAGGAATGTGCCCGTGCCTCCCAGGCAGTACCTTCTGCTCTGCGGGCTCGCAGAGATCCACTAAGCAGGGTGGTTAGCAAGGTGGTGCATTTCCTGGTGGAGAAGCTGAATATGAAGGAGCCCATCACTCAGACCGCACTGCTGAGGATTGTCAAAAGGAAGTACAAGGAGCAGTTCCCTGAGATCCTCAGGAGAGCCTCTGAACACATGGATCTGGTCTTTGGCCTTGACTTCAAGGAAATCGATCCCAACAACCACACCTATGCCTTTTTCAACAATCAAGGCCTCCCTGTTGAGGGAGACCTGAGCTGTGATGAGGTGGTGTCGAAGACCGGGATCTTGATGATGCTCCTGGGTGTGATTTTCATGAATGGCAACCTCGCCACTGAAGAGGAGATCTGGAAGTTCCTTGATGTGTCTGGGGTCCACCCTGGGAAGAAGCATCTCATCTTCGGAGAGCCCAGGGAATTCATCACCAAGGATCTAGTTCAGCAAAAGTACCTCAAGTGCTGCCAGGTTCCTGACAGTAATCCTCCAAGTTACCTGTTCCTGTGGGGCCCAAGAGCCCACGCTGATATCGGCAAGATGAAAGTGCTGGACGTGCTGGCCAGGATCTACAATAAGCTCCCTACTGCCTTCCCAAACCTGTATGAGGAGGCCTTGAGAGATGAGGAAGATGAAGCATGGTTGAGAGCCGCAGCCATGGTTTGCTCTTTTATCAAGCACAGGGCTCCTTCCAGGGCCAAGTCCAGAAGCTTCTCCCACAACTAGTGAGATCTGAGGCAGCCTTTTCACCTTGAGTTTGAGGAGAGCAGTTCAACCTTATGAAGAGTAGAGTAGTGGGCTCTGGAGGGAACTAAACATTTATGCTGTTGGGTTTCTTTTTCTTCTGTAGATGACTAATTTTTAGGGTTTTATATATTTTCAAAAGTTGTTCCTTCTCAGTAAAGGTTTATTTGCTTCAGAATATCAGTTTATTAATGTCATGGATGCCACATTTATTAAAGTTGATATTTTTTTTAAATATATTTTATTGATTTTTTACAGAGAGGAAGGGAGAGAGATAGAGAGTCAGAAACATCGATGAGAGAGAAACATCGATCAGCTGCCTCCTGCACATCTCCCACTGGGGATGTGCCCGCAACTCAGGTACATGCCCTTGACCGGAATCGAACCTGGGACCCTTGAGTCCGCAGGCCGACGCTCTATCCACTGAGCCAAACCGGTTTCGGCTAAAGTTGATATTTAATATTATGAGTTTGTTTATTACGAACCAATTGAAAAGTCTTCAATATGTTCTTTCTCCTACAACGCAAGGCACAGGTATAGGATTTTTCCTGGGCATATGAAATATTTGGTATAACAAAATGGAGAAATTTGGGATAAAAAAACGGAGGATTAATTCTTAGTTTGCTTAATTCTCCTTGTTCTTTTCTTATAAAATTAAATAGCATATACCTGGATTTGCTTATCTGCTTCAAAGTTTTTGAGAAAATAAATCGCAATAAATTTCAATTCTTGCTCATGTCTTTTCTTTTCCCCTCCAGCATTAATAGACCATCTGCTCTTTGGAAATATCTAATAGCACTAGAGATGGTAAGAAAAGGAAGCCTAATAGCCACTGCCCATAAAATTTAGAGTCTAGCATCAGCATTGGTCATATTAGGAAAATGGTTGTCGTAGACCAATTCCAGCATATCATAATTTTAAGAGTTTCATCAAGGTCTTTGCTTCACGCCCTGGGCTGCTTGAGATGCTGTCCTCACCCCAGAAAAAAAAAGAGTTTCATCAAAAGATTGATGAAACTTGAGGACTCAACAAGGTTGAGTCACACATGTAGTCACCTGTTGGGAATGGCTAAAGGCATTTCCCCAAACCTGAATAGGAAACTGATTGTGGCTGCCAGGCAGTTAAAGGGCATCTTAATCTACATGTTATTTCCTCCTACTGGCCAAACACCTGAACAGCTGTAGGCTATTCCCCAAACTGACTGCTTCTGTACCCTTTGAAACCTTACCCTTTGAAGTGTACTATCTCCACCTTGCCTTAGGACAAATTGTGTTAATAAAAGCAAGGGTCCTAGACAAGGAGGAACACACTCTACAGTTCCTTTAGCTGAAGGTCCTCTGACCCCCAATGCCTTTCAAAATTATAACTCGTCTCCGGACTCTTTATTAGTCTCTGGATTCCTATGTCATCTACACACAGCCCCTTTTCCAGATTCCTGAACCCTTCTTGATGCTGGGACAAGAACCCCGGCAAATGGTGTCATACAATGTAAGAAATAAGTAAATGACAAGTAACAGAAAATGTGTGGAAGAGAGCAATTTATTGCCCACCATGTGAGCAAGGCAGTGTTGGGCCTTGGAAATCTCTAGTCCCTCAGGGAGTGAGGGACAGGTAATTTTCAGTTGGGCTGCATGATGTGCTGGATGAAGCCGAGGAAATGGGGAGTAGGGGTCAAACTCTCAGGTAATGGGTCTTAGAGTGGAGACACTAAGCCTAGAATGGAAAACAGATCTTAAGAGTTACCTTGGGATGTGGGAAAAGCTGATAAATCTCCACCTGAGGCCAGACTGGAAGGGGTCCAGTCCACTTGCTCCAAGGCAGGTGAATATAGTGCCCAAACTAGGTGTTTTGAGAACAGGATGTCTAGAGTGTTTCTGAAAAATAAGGGTGATATCCCTTGAAGTGACATGCCAAGGAGCCATTGGGAAATCCCTCTTTTCATGGGCTGGAAGAGCCAGATCTCACTCCATGAAAATGACATGTCATGTAGAGAATTTGTGTTTAACTTGGCAAAAAGTAAGGACAGATTCTATTTATGGTGGCGATGAAATTAATAAAATTAAGGGTGGTATGGATGACAAGTTGTTGGTCCTTGAGACTAATAAACGTTGAGTTACACATTGCTAGGGAACGTAACCACACACCCTTATAAAACAACAAATGCTCTATAGGGGAAATTCTACTTAGTACTACCTGCTCAGCAACATTTTGCCTTATGTGGTTTTCTACCTTGTATACAGTTGCATGTTCTTTAATAGAGCATGGAAATTAAATTCTGTGAGGAAAGGTGGTTATTATCTGGGTTCAAAATCATCCTAGTGACAGCTGCCATGCATTAAAAGCACCAAATTTGCCTAATACTATAGATAGTTTATATTCATCACAAATGAATGTCCACAGTGTTGCGTGAAAGACTACCAGACTCATTTTGCAGATAAAGAACATGGAATAGGCTCACATTCAAGGCTAAAAACTGACAGACCCAAAATCCATCTCTTTGAAGGGGACAAGGCCCAGATCATATTTCTCCTTAAGTAATGGGTTTCTCTTCTCTACCATCCAGTGAACTTTGCAAACTGTCTGATTACATACTGTAGGGGAATTAAGGGTCACCTCAACCTCTTGATACCCCACAGCCTGCCTCCCACAGAACTTGCAAATTCACTGTTCCTTAGTATAAGCTCCCCCCCCCCCGCAAAGTGCCACTGTAGGGCATGTGGTGTCCCTCTCCCTCATCTTGTGAGCATGCATCATTTATAGATTACTGTATAGATCATCTCTACAGGGTCCAGTCTTGTGGTTTTGGACACCACATCACCATAGAGCAGAAATCCCATCCTCATCTCCCAGGGTAAATAGGGGACCATTGAACATGCTCTTAGGGATTAATTTTGTAATTTGGTAGATAGGCATCTAGGGCAGAGTATCGGTTATCTCAGGCTGCCCTAACTATATGCCATAGAGTCGATGGCTTAATCAACAGAAATTGGTTTTGTCACAGTTCTAGAAGTTGGAATTCCAATGTCAAGGTACAAGCAGATTTGGTTTGCTCTGAGCTCTCTCTCCTTAGCGTACAAATGGCTTCCCTCTTCTCCTGGCTGTCCCTTGTGTGGGCACATGCCTGCTGTCTCCTTGGTTGACTTAAACTCATAAGGTTGGATTATGGCCTATTCTAATAGCCTCTTTTTACCTTAAACATCACGTTAAAGACATAAAATCTCTGGCCATGTGAGGACACATCGAGAAGTCCTCAGTTGACCATGACACTTGATCCCAAACGTCCAACCTTTAAAATTGTGAGAAGTCAATGTCTGTTGTTTATATGACACCCAGTCTGTAATATTTTGTCATAGCAGCCCAAATGATCCAGGGAGTTGAAAATGAAACCCTTTGCTCCCCAGGGCCTCCAGCTGGCTGACTCACCCTGCAGATCCTGGGACTGGCCAGTATCTGTAATCATGTGAACCAACCTCTTTCTCTCTTCATCCTATTGGTTCTGTTTCTCTAATGAACCCCTACTCTCCAGCTGCTGTACAGAATACTTCAGACTTAGTGGCTTAAAATGACATAAATGTACACTCTTGTAGTCTGCCAGCCAGAGTCCTATTTGACTCTCAAATGCCTGAAGTGGAAATGTCAGGCTGGGCTCCCTCCAGAAGCTGGAGGGAGCATCAACTCCTGGCCTCAGGCAGTTTCTGGTGGTGGCTGGTGACATTGGCTTGCGGCTGCATCCCTTCTATCTCTGCTTCTGTCTTCACATCTCTTTCTCCTCTGTCTACGCTCACCTGCTCTCTCTGATAGGGACATGTGTGATGGCATTTAGGGTTCACCCAAATGAGCCAGGGTCATCCCTCATCTCAAGGTCCTCAGCCTCCTTGGAGGCTGCCATAAGTGGGCACATTCTCAGACTCTGGTCATCAGGACATGGTGTGGCCATCACAGCCTTCCTCTCTCCCAGCCACAGTGGGCTTCTCTGGCCCTGGCACTCTGGGGCCTGCACACAAGAGGTGATTCATTGTTTGCTGAGGAATGTGTGAACAAGGGGACACTGGAGGTCTCTTCTGAGCAGGTCTCTGCATAGCCTTCTGGGCAGGCTGCCCCCAGCAAGAGCTTAGCTGAGCAGGTTCTCCCAGCAGTGGAAAGAGACCCTGATGTCTCAGTTTCTAGGCCTGCAGTCCTAGGCCATTCAGGTTTCTCTCCAGATCCTCAAACAAAGGGTTTGCCTCCTTTCATCACCAGAAGAAACTGAATTGTTTGAATTCAGATGCCTGTAGTCCCAGGATAGTTAGGCCTGGGCAGAAATCAGCTTCTGTAGGTTCCTATTAAATGCTACCAGAGCTTCCCTTGGGTTTAGCTCCTTGGACAGGCTCCTATGGGACCTCACCAATTGTTCTCAGGTCTGGAACACTTCCCTTGTTTTGCATCCCTTTTCAAAAGTACCAGTGCTGCTGGCTTTCATCCCTGTCCTAGTTTGTTCACTGTATCATTTCTGAGTCTCAGAACCTGGGAGGGGCTCTCTTCTTGGGTCTGTGCCCATTATCCAACCTGCTCCCTAGCTTGGTCCCCACGCCAGTCCTGACAGTGGACTCTATACAAAATGGTTTTATTGATTATTTTTTTAAAGAGAGAGAGAGGAAAGGAGATAGAAACATTGATGAGAGAGAACCATTGATTGGTTGCCTCCTGCACATCCCTCACTGGGGTTCTGGCCTACAATTCATGCATGCGCCCTGAGTGGGAATCAAACCCATGACTTCCTGATGCATGGGTCAATGCTCAACCACTAGACACAACAGTGGTCTGGCCACTGTCCTGGGCTTTGGGGCTGTCCTATCTCCTTCACTCTTGGTTTTCCGTTTCTGATTGTCATAAAATTCTGATAGGCTGGGCACTCATATGGGGCTGGTCCTGGAGCTGTGGAATGCATAACCTGTAAGAAGCTTGGGACCATCAGGAAGTAGAGAGCCCAGCCATTGTCCCAG